TGTTTAGATATATACAACTCAATGAACTCCAGATTTTTCATATAACTACAGTTAATCTTTCTTGGAATGAAGGATTTACTGTAGTCATATGAAAAAATCGAGTGTGAGAGATTACCTATTGTCATATGAAAACATCTGGATTCTTTAACTTCTTTTGAGGAGTAAATATATATACGTTCTTTTAAGGAGTTGTGTACGTTTTACGTTTAGAAGCTGGCCTGATCCGTCTATGAGATGTGTGTAAAAATGTGGTTGAACTTGTACTTCGTAAATGTTTCATGAGAAGTGATTATGAAATCATATTTTCAGTGACATTAATTCCATATTTTCACAGGTACACACTGTGTCCAGGTGTGATTGAAGTCGGCATCCAGACAGATGCCCCTCGAAAACCGCGGGGGAACGAGGAGGAGTGCTGCATCATCTCTTAAGATTCTGCCAGACACTTGCCGACCTCACCCCTTAACCATCCAACACTCATGGCCCTCCCCAAGTATGTGTATTATTTTTTATGACCCTCCTTTGAGATTGTCATATTTGACCCCTCCCCATGACTAATGACTGATCCCTTACTGCGGCGGGAAACGGACAAATTTGACAAAATGCTCCATCGAATCTCCATTTTGGGAAGACCTAATTGACGTGGCTCTATTCCGTTATATATATTGACTGAGTTATACATTTTGGCATACGATTTGTCTCAGAGATCCTTATTCTTTGGTGGCACCGACTACGATCGGTTGTTTCCATTGAATTAAACCAGTTTCCTTTGGAAGATAATATGTCCTTCGTGCGAACATCACCAAACATCAGCATGTATTTACTTGTTTTAAATCATTTCCAGACACTATCGTAAGTCACGTGTACACGTGTACTCGTCTCCATATCAGCAAGACCTCACACCCACAGCGATTGGACTCCTTTACTGGTGCCATGTGTGATATCCGGTTACAGAACCTCCACAGGGAGATTGGGCCATGTGATACTCTCCACGCCAATACACTCAGCCTTTGGGAAGAAGCACTAGAAAACACATGATTGGCTTAATCCTACTCCTGCATGCTCTTCTCTCTCACTAAGGAAAGGTGCACAGCACTAATACAATTCAAACGCTACCCCAACCAGAAGATCCTGCAAACTCTTGGAACAGATGGAAGCAAATTACAAATAAACTACAACAATATATGCACGAACAACTACTTTCTGCACGCCTGCAAGGGCATTCAGTGATCAACTGGTGATAGGATGATCCAAGGTGTGTACACCAGCATCAGGAGAGGCATCAGTCCAACTCAAAGATGGTGCCCTTGAAGTCTGCAACAGGCAAAACGATCAGGTGAGCAGATGGAGAGATAAGTTGAGCACTACTAAACTCTACTCGAGGGAAAGCCCCATAGCATCGGCCACCAATTCAGGAGGCGGACCACGTGAAATCCTCTGTTGAGGAGCTGATCAAGGTGATGGTTGGCTGTTTTTCAGGTTAGGCATATCCTTCGGAATGGATGAGATACCTTCACATGCCATCAACTGCCGACAGGGAGTCCTGCTTATCCACCAGTATGAACTTGTCAGTGTTATGAACAGTACTGTTTTCCTGGGACATGAGAGACCGCAACATGGTCACCTTGTATAGGAACAAGGGTGATAGAAACGTTTGTAACCACAACATCCAGATATATTTACTAAACATTGCAGGAAAGCTCTTTGCTTGTGTGGTGCTGAATAGGGTGTATCCCGAATCAGTGTTGATTCAGGGCATAACGATCCACAATCAACATGATCCTCTCAATCAACAGATGCAGAGAGAGTGCAGAGAGCAGCAGCAAGCCAATCTATGTTGCATTCATCGACCTTACAAACCTTGCTGTTTGAAGGCTCGTCCTCTGAGGCTTAAAGCATCTGCAGTGGAGTAGAGCATGATTGTCCCTTCCCTGTTTTTTGCAGTCACAAAGATTCTTTCCCTCGACCGACGGTCTTTTGAACCCACACTGAAGGGGTCTACCTCCAAAAAAAATCGGAGGGAAAGTTGTTCCATCTGGTTTGCCTGAAGGCAAAAAGAACTAAAGCACGTTAAGACCCTGCTCGGGTCAACAAAGACAAGACCAGACAAGACAAACATACTGGGCCATGCCATCAAGCATCCTACAGTGATCTCGATCAACGTCTTCGTTGAATTATCTCCGCTCCGACCTCACAGACAACCTGACCTAGGATGCTGAGGTTAACAGGCTGACCGGCATAACGTCCACCACCCCTGTCTTTGGATGAACAGCAAGCTGACTGTCCATTGTTGTCCACTGAACCTCCAGGAACTGAACTAACGGATTATGTTTGGTTTGTTTCTTCAGAAAGTATATAAGGGCATACACGGAAATAACTTAAAATTGTTAGGGATATTAGTTTCTAGTAATAGTTATATGATTATAATGAACGAATTGGGAACACTTCACAATCGGTAGTAAAGTATGACAGTAGGTGTTATGACCGTCAACGATCTTGAAACCTCAGGAAGATAGGGGTAAGATGGGAAACTTCAAAGATGGCGTTTTGGATCAGTAGTACTGCATGGCAGTCTCCCAATGTCGATTTGATGGAATATATCCCACTCTCAGCGTCTGGCCTATGACGTTGACGCACACTTCTCCCTGTCATGTCCCAGCCGTGTTCAATGGGGGAAAGGTCTGGGCTCATTGCTGGCCATGGCATTGAGCGCTGGAGGCTGGATTCGTGCACAGGGAGCATGGGCGTCGTCGTCGTCGTCGTCCTGAAGGACAAAACGTCGCTCCGCACACCTTGCAAACGGGACAACAAAGGGTGTCAGCACAATGTATGTTGTCCCAATAGTACTGTCAAGAGACACTTACTTGCACAAGATGGAGTGGGGTTCGGTCAGTCAAAGTGATGCCATCCCACACCATAACCGACCCATGGCAAAATCTGTCATGGGGTCGAAGGTTAACATTGACTTGACGTTCATTTCGACGTCGCCAGACACGGCCACGTCTATTAAAGAAGTGCACAGTGAATCGTGACAGTGAATGAAAACATGACACGTGAACATCGACGATTACCCCAGTTCCGACGTTGTGTACACCATTGACATCGTTGGCGATACGACTATTTGTAAGTGGCCGTCGAGCACAGCGATGAGCTCCATTTAGACGATCTCTAATCATCGGACCTCTAACTCGTACTCCAGTAGCCTGATTAAAGTTTGGAGCATTTTCATTCGTTGTTTGAGCTCGATTTCGTAGAGCCTGGTTTCGTATCGATCGATCATGTACTCTTGATGACCTGGTACGTCCTATACATGGTCGATCGTCAACATTTTGGGTTGGTTTGTCTGCGAATCACAGAGTGTGAAACATTGAACGTATTGGCAACTGCACGCTTCTGCCAGTTTCAAGCATGCCAATAATCCTTAGACGCCCAGCACGTTCCGAGCGCTGCATCGCAAGTTCATACGCAAACAATGAATGAAACCCACTCCCCAGAGTTCCTTGCGGTCGCCAGCCAGCCAGCATAGTACCTCTGCCACAGGCAAGCGCCATGTGACGATTCGTCACATCTTTCACAGTCCATTCAAGATATTGCATATGCTTTTCATCCGTTTTATGTTTGACAAGTCTACACATTTTCATAAACAAATGTCAATGAATGGTTACGATAAATTCAGAAAGTATCATCATACGTGAACATCTACTTGTTTTGCGTAGTTATCGTTTGTTTACATTGGCTGTACGGCTCCACGTGCTGTCATCGAAGCCCAACGGAGAGCTAGCGATACGGTCACTTTGATGTATAAATATATATTGTCATGCAACTCACTGTCGCAGTTGTAGTAGTATATCCATATAATTATGCAAAACAACACGTAACGCGCCCCAAATACTTGCTTTCGTCCGTCCTATACTGATTTCTGAAAAAGCGCGTTTGTTTACAAACAAGAGAAAAGTCCGGTCACGTGATATGCAAATTAGCCTGTGGTAGTGGTGTTATGCTGAGTCACCACTGCGCCGGAGTGTGAATGAAACCAAGTAAATCACAACTTTGCGCAGAATCAATAACATTGTCAGAAGTACTGGTCCACAGAGATTAATCGACAGAGATTGAAAGTGTCAAAATGAGGAATGACACTCTATGCACATGTGTTGCGCTACTGCGTGCATCGCGAGCAAACTATCGGATGTGTTTTGGTGTTATGTTTTACGGTGAGGAGAAATTTGGTTTAAGATAATTGCACTTATATAGAACGTGCACGTGTTTGCGTGGTTGCTTGTACTAGTCCGGACTGATTCCGATTTATAGTGCTAGCTCACTGAGATACCATGCCGCAGTTTAACATGAATATCCTACTCAGACACAGTATACTGACTCCGAGCCGACCAGTCCTTGTTTTAGACCCTTAATGCCGAGCGCCAGACAGGGTAACAAAAAGTACCATCTTTTAACGTCTTTTGGTATGACGCGGCCGGGGATCAAATCCCGGACCTTCCGCTCTCCGGGCGGAGGCTCTACCACAAGACCACGGAGGCGGCCTTATGTTTTACGGACATAAACGTTCTTGCAACGTGTTTGTCGTCAACACTTATTTGTTCTGATACTTTGTGCATCCCCTTTATTTAAGAGTATATAAGTTACTATAATTTCACCCAGCATTAAAAAAATCACATACGGCTTTTTCTTAAATTCTTACGGTTTTTTACTTCAACCACTGCGGAAAAAACATAACCAGCAAAACAAAAAAAGATGTCACTCAGATCTGCCGCTGGGACGCTTGACGTCACCAATTGATGTGTCGCATGTAACTGTTGTTGCAAATAACTTTGGACGACCAGCTGTAACGTTAAGAATGTATTCACTGGAGTGCGCTATCGGGGACCCACACACTATAACCATACACGAAGCTCTGTCACTCATATGACAAATGGTGATCTATACAGCATATTTCAATGCTCACTGCAACTGCACTGTACGAGTTGTTGCCACAAAGCTTCGGACTCATTTTAGGTATTTGGGTTTAAAAATACGTCATGTCGGGGTTCACAACACGTCGTTCGGGATTGTTCTGGTTCATTGGTGACAGATGCGAGTGGTGACGATTGGTCAGGATTATCGACTTGTCGTCTTTTGATTGGTTATAATTGCGAGCTTCTAATGTATATTTCTTTCTCGGCTTCTTGTATAATATACAGGATCACTTCTCGTAGTCGAGCTGACGTCTTTGATTCAAGACTTGTAAAAGAGAAAACACAGCTACATTATCGCGATGGACGACATCATATTACATCACCCTTTTATTCTTATTCCAATTATCGTGATTGTAATTATTGGACTTATTGGCGGATGCATCTACTGTTTGTGTTGTAGTGATAACAACGAGTACGGGTAAGTACAAGACGACTTTGATGCAATGGAACGCCCACATACTTGTGGAATTCGTGCATACTCATGGGACAAATTCCACTTCGATGGGTGGTTTGGTCCATGAATATGCCTGCATTTCTCGAAAAGGTCTTGTGGAACAACACAACACCAAGGATGTTAGTGGCATACCAGCTATTGATGCAAGCAGATTTCCTGTGATAATTCGCACATATGTAACCCATTAAGGTGAAACTAATTGTAATTAATATGTGGTTTCGTAATAAGAACATGACGGACATAAGTGATGTTTTTTATTTTATTTCATATAAAAAGTAGAAACAAATATATCAGGGGGGAATGATCTCTTTTCACAAGAGTGACTTCCTGGAATGCCCCCACTCCCATCCCAAAATACAAGTAACATTCTTTTATGACCCCCTGCCCTAATATAGTTGTGATTCACGCGGAACAAAATAGCTTATACCTCAATACCCGGAAATTGGTCAACGCTTCCATGCCGCACTGCCATATGCTATAGGAGAACTGGGCAAACAGAGCGTCTCACTGTGATCATTGTGCCAGACTAATAAAAGTAATTAGTGTTTATTCTTAATGTTTTAATATATATATTCATAATGAGTAACGACATTTCTTATGTACACATCTCGTTATACTATACCAGTGTGAAACAAAGGAAACGGGTTTTCAAAATGTGTATGATGTCTTTCCTAATTTTACTCACATCATATTATCCATGTACAGTGTATCTTTCTCAAACTAGACCGCCTCCGTGGTAGAGCGTCCATCCGGAGAGCGGAAGGCCCGGTGTTCAATCCCTGGCCGCGTCATACCAAAAGACGTTAAAACATGCTACTTGTTGTTACCCTTGTTAAAACAATGACAGGTCAACACGTCAAATAGTTGTTACTTGTTTCACGCCACACTCAGCAATTTTCCATCCGTATGACGGCGGCCTGTATATAATTAAGTCTGGTCCAGACAAACCAGTGATTGGCATTATGAGCAACGATCCGACCCGTCAGGGTACACCACACGCTATCCAGTCCTGAGCTCGACCACCCGATCCATTACGTCTTATATAAATTGTGGTGTTACTATGAGTAAAAGTTCAAATACTAATTTGTAATTTGTTTGTTTCGGATGTGAACTCCAATTCAAGTGGCGATTTGCTTATGAATCTTAGCTGATACATGTATATGGCGCATTTGATATTGGTGCCATTTGACAAATTTATTTTTCGACATTGCCATTGCAGCATGAGCTATCACGACCTTTACTATATTGGTTCGAGACCTACCGTTGGATATTATTTTGGAAGTAAATCCTGACACAAACATATACCAGACTCCTCAATTTCGTGAAACCAGCGTTTTTCGAGCATTTCAGCCAATCTTATATATCTTCTCTTTTCAGAAGTCCTACACTTACAAGTGTAAGAAAGAAATATGGCTAGTTGTAAGATATTTGAAAATGTCTGATATATTTCATTGCAATATTAAGTTATACTTACTTTAAAATTTGACATTCCAGTGGGCGAAAAGGGAATATGCATTGTATGTAAATTTGCTCATTGCAGAGAACTGAAGACTGTCAAAAGAGTTAAAGAGTTATTTTAATTTTGTAAAATAAAAGTGAACAGTTTTCTTCCACAGAAACCGCAAAGTGTTAAAAACTGAATCATTGATTTGATGTGTAGCAGCAACATAGTGAAATTGAGAATTCGCCATGCCAGTAAAATAAAGTTAATGCAAAATAATAGTCGTTTTAGTAGGAAAATAACATAAGTATTCAGACTAGAAATCTGCAAGAATATTCGCAGAAACCACAAGATCCAGAAAACTGAATCTCCATGACGATGTGTAGAACCGTGATATTGCTGGAATATTGCTACACGCGGCATAAAATCACATGCACTGACTCACACCGATAACGTGACTTATGAATGTTCACACCATAGACTTGAAAACTTTAACATCTCACTCACCGTTGACAATACATCAAGGTAACAGTGTATATTACAGAAAATGCTTTGTCAAATGTAGTGATAGTGTCCATTATAAAAAGTATATTACATTGAGGTCATAATTACCCTCTCACATCAAACAGAGCGCATTACACAACAAATTTACTAACACACTTCCCTACGTGATGGGGACCCCCTCCATGGTCTAGTGGTAGAGCGTCCGCCCGGAGAGCGGAAGGTCTGGGGTTCGATCCCCGGGCCGCGTCATACCAAAAGACGTTAAAAGATGGTACTTGTTGTTACCCTGTCTGGCGCTCGGCATTAAGGGTCCAAAACAAGGACTGGTCGGCTCGGAGTCAGTATACTGTGTCTGAGTGGGGTATTCATGTTACACTGCGGCATGGTATCCCAGTGAGCTAGCACTATAAATCGGCATCAGTCCGGACTAGTACAAGCAGCCACACAAACACATACACGAACATGCACGTCGCTATATAAGTGCAATAATCTTGGACGCGACGTTAAAACCCATTTCACCTCACCTCCCACGTGATTGGTAGTATTTACAACATATGGAATTTGGGTGTACCTGGTGAGCGTGTTTCTTCACGGTTACTAAACACCTAGAGATTGCAAATAGTGAGACATTTATATCTGGATCCAGATGCCGGGTATTGCATCCCCTCATCTGTTCCTCGTTCAATATCCGTTTGTCCGCGTGTCACACTACTGGCGGCTACACATCGTCCAGTTGGCGGATTTGCGCAGTACATGCAAAATTTGAATAGGGATTCCAGATCGAAAAGAAAACCCGAGCAGGTTTTTCTTATTTAAAAAAAAAAAAATGTTTCCGATCCGGAATCCTTATTCAACGGTATCATGATTTATATCCAATCGAAACTGAAGGGATACAGTAGCCACGGGTAGATTTATATCAGGATAGTTCCTGCCGCTCTATTGTGCAATGCGATAATGAGGGTACTTTTTAGACAACTTAATATTTTCGAATGTGTCGTCGCTATATGGCTGAAATAATGCCGATGCGACATTAACTCACTCACTCACTCACTCACTCACTCACTCACTCACTCACTCACCCACTCACTCACTCACTAAGGGAGATAACGCTCAAATAAGTTCCTGCCATGTTTGATGTTTTCTATTTCTATGTCGGGGCGGTCGGGTCGCCAAAGACCCGGGTTCGATTCCCGACATGGGTACAATGTGTGAAGCCCATTTCTGGTGCCCCCCGCCGTGATATTGCTGGAATATTGCTAAAAGCGGCGTAAAACCTTATTCACTCACTCACTATTTCTATGTAATACCCAGTTGTTATGCTCTAAATGATTGACTTGATACGATACACTATATATGATATTGCTGTGTTGAGGGTATCCTAGACAAGAATGGCAGTTATTTTAAATTAAATCTATTTCCGAATTTTCACTATGATTGCATTCCTCTCCTACAGGAAACTGAACATCAACACAGGCGAATACGACAATGATATTCCTGAAGGTAATGAATTAATTACACTGTTTGTTCATGTGAGATTTATAAATATAACACCCACATGGTATGTTTGAAATGTGATATCTTTGTGTTGTTGTTGTTGTTCTTCTTCTTCTTCTCCTTCTCCTTCTCCTTCTCCTTCTCCTTCTCCTTCTCCTTCTTATTATTATTATTTATTATTTATTATTATATTCAGTTAGGATTTCGACTTCAAAGACCCTTGACTTACACGGGATGGATGCCAACAATGCGAAGTCTGAACTGGAATGGTTTCTGGAACGAAAGGAACAAGGTACATGACACTGGATTTTTGCGTTCGGTGATCACGTGACAAAGAACACGCAAGGACAAAAGGGCTACTTTCAAACTCAAGTATACATCATGGTGACATCTCGATATTACCAGCTGTGTGTGTGTGTGTGTGATTGTGTGTGTGATTGTGTATGCGTAAGCATGTGTGTGCGTATGAGTGTGTGTGAATGTATGTGTGCGTGCGTATGAGAGAGTGTGTGAGTGTTTGTTTATGTGTCAGTGTGTGTGTTTGTGAGATTGTGTCTGTGTGTAGTGTGTGTGTGTGTGTGTGTGTGTGTGTGTGTGGGGGGTTATGTGTGAGTGTATGTGAGTGTCTGTGTGTTTGTTAGCGTCTGTGTGTATGTGTGTCTGTGTGTGTGTGTGTGTGTTTGTGTATGTGTGAGTGTGTATGTGTGTGTGTAACTGTGTGTGTGAGTGTGTCTGTGTGTGTGTGTGTGTGATTGTGTCTGAGTGAGCGTGTGTGTGTGTCTGTGGGTATGTGCGTGAGTGTGTGTGTGTGATTGTGTCTAAGTGAGTGTGTGTGTCTTTGATGGATGTCTGTGTGTGTGTGTGTGTCTATGTGCCATTTAACATGGATACCTCACTCAGAATAACTCTGTGTACTGACTCCGACCCGTCCAGTCTTATTTTATCCCCTTAATGCAGAGCGCTTCCCTTTAACGGCGTTTGGTATAACGCGGCCAGTAGATCGCACCTTCCGCTCTCAGGGCCTAACGCTGTATCCACTAAACCACAGAACAATATGCTACTGTATTGTAAATTCAATATGCAATATAATCATGAGAGGCGGCACGATCGCAAATTTTGAATTTAATTAATTACTGGCGATCAATAATGCAACGATAAATAATTGTCATTATAAACTAAATTAAAATACACTTCTTTTTTAAGGTCCTTTTTGTTCAACGGGATCTGGATGCCTTTAGAAAATTGTAAAATTGTTAGAAATTATTATGGCCTTTTCACTTGAAAACAAGACTTTGTTCTTTGGACACATATTTTGAAAATTGGGTACAACAATTAATGTAGAGGAAAGGCTAGATTCAAAATGGTTTTTTTAGCTGCTTTTAACATGAGCAATTTCTTGAGGATGTATATGGGAAAGCACAGACGTATTGTAAAACACTGTCTTTGGTCACAGCGAGGGACTGAGTGAGTGAGTACAGCTTTACGCCGCTTTTAGCAATATTCCAGCAATATCACGGCAGGGGGACACCAGAAATGGGCTTCACACACTGTACCCATGTGGGGAATCGAACCCGGTCTTTGCGGTGACCACTAGGCTACACCGCCGCCCCCTTAAGTCACAGATTTCTTCGCACTTTCCCGCAGATCTTTTTATCTATTGATGTCAGTGACACTTTTGACCAAAATCAGAATAAGAAAGAAAGAGTTTTCATTCATAAAACTGTTTGAACATTTCCTACAATATTTCATATATTTCCATAACTCTAAGGCACGAATCTCATTATCCCTCGACGTTTTTCTTTCAGAACGAAAGTGGTGTAATGGCAGCATGACACTGACAATCATAACAGGGAAAGGTAACCACAGCCCCCATGGACACCCCGTTCTGAAGCCGGTAGTCAAGAAATACCTGGAAAACAAGGGCGACACGTGAGTAATCATGTACCTTTTACACACCTCCTCCCTTAATCTAACAGGGTCTATATACTGTATTTGCTATAAATAGCTCATCCCTTGTCGTTGATGGACCGCCCCGATGGTCTAAAGGTAGAGCGTCCGCCCGGGGAGCGGAAGATCCGGGGTTTGATCCCCGGCCGCGTCATATCAAAAGACGTTAAAATATTGTACTTGTTGTTACCCTGTCTGGCACTCGGCATAAAGGGGCTAAAACAAGGACTGGTCGGCTCGGAGTGAGTCTGAGTGGGGTATTCATGTTAAACTCAGTGTGCTAGTACTATAAATCGGCATCAGTCCAGACTAGTACAAGCAGCACCCACAGCCACAGCCTCACAGCCACACACACACACAAACACCCACCGACCCCCCCCCCCCCCAAAAAAAAAGAAAAGAAAAAAAGGAAAGAAAAATAACACCCAAAAAACCCCAAAAAACCAACAACAAACAAACAAACAAAAAACACACACTCACACACACACACACGTACGTCACCTCACCTTGTCGTTGACCCGATGATCGTGGGCTCATTCTCAGATTCAATCCTTGTTCCGTCAGCACCATACCCGTGCTCGTGGGTTACCCCAAAGTGGTTTACGTCCTTGAATACTCTCACAATATCATTCCAGAGAAGTAGTAGGCTCCGAGAGGAACAACAACGGGCCTGAATGAGTCCTAGTGAATGTTCACACTTTGCTGGAATGAATCGAACACATTGTCGTGGCGGTGGGGTAGGATACACGTTACAGCGTTCGCTTTAAATTAGAACTCTGATGATGAGTGAGTGAGTTTGATTTTACCCCGCATTCAGCAATATTCCAGCAATATGACGACGGGAGAACAGCAGAAATGGGCTTATCACATTGGGTCTTGGGCATGACGATACCCACAAGGCTACCCTATATCACATGAACTGGTGACATGTCTGCTTAGTTTCATTTCCTAATGAAATATCAATCTCATTAAAATCAGATCTAAGTTCTCGCTATCGCTAAACAAAGATCTGAAGACATCCAATTATGGGTCACGTCAGACCGACCTTGCGCGAACTTTGACCGACCAATGGATTGACCAATCAGAAGGGTGCTTTCTCGTGCTTTACGGCACTAATTTCCAATTGGCGACTACGCTTCGAAACATATTTTGACACATTATCGGTTACAAATTGGAAACCTGAACAAAAGGACATTCTGGAATGGCTAATAGATGGTCTAGATTGTATGGATTCAGTCGTTTAACCCGTAACTATCGTTCGGAATACCCCGTGAATAAAGTTTTCTTGGTTGCATGATTAGAAATCACATTCCGACTGTCACTTTCATGATCTGGTAAGCGACACTCTGATTGGTCGGATGAAAGGTCGGTCTGACTTGACCCCCTAATGGGATGTCCTCAGATCTTTGTTTAGTGGTAGCTAGAACTTAAATCTGATTTTAATTAGATTGAATGAAATATGCAACTGTTTTAAACTGTGTACAGTAAAATATGTTCATAACGAACACGCTTATAACGAACTGACGGATATAATGAACTTATTTTTTTCGTCGCGGCCATTTGCTGTATATATGCTGTATACATGTATATGCTCTACCGAACTACGGTTATAACGAACTAAAATAAGTTGCCCCTTTGTGTTCGTTATAACCGTAGTTTACTATATATAAAATAGATAGAACATTTGAGGTTTAACTTTCCTCTTTATAATAACCAATATATCATGTCGGAGTGAGCTAGAAATAGTCGTCACGCATTGTATCCATCTAGGGAATCGAACCAGGGCCTTCGTTGTGAGAAGCGAACGGTTGATCTACTAGGTGTCATAGACCCTTAGATTAACAAGACAGTTAACTAGTAATTGTTTTATTTGGTGTGCTCATTGTGTTCTTTTTATATTTCAGACATAATGTAGATCCCCAAAATACGGGTCGTCTCTTTGTTCAGCTACTATGATGGTGCTGTAACGGTGTTAGAACCTACACCGAAACGTCGCTCTTAATTGTAATAAAGAAGTTGTTCATCCATAAATTCTTATCCTTACTTACTATGATGTAGTTTAAGGAAGGATTTTTCGCCTCCTCCGTGGTAGAGCGTCCGCCCGGGGAGGGGAAGGTCCAGGTTACCAAAAGACGTTAAAAGATGGTACTTGTTGTTACCCTGTCTTGCGCTCGGCATCTAATGAAATTATGTGGAGACATTTTCTGATGATAGTATTGATACTTTGTGTATTATAAACAATAAATAAAACATTTTGTCACAGTCATCCTTTTTTTGTATTAATTTTTAAGTTGTATTTATTGTGTTCAAGGAACTACTTTTCCTGTCACTGAAACAATACGCTTACCACAGTTTCATGTTTCCAATAACTTTCTTTGTATTTGTAAAATAAATGTTAAAAATACGTTTTTGGTTTATCTGTGTTGTGATTACGTATCGACTTCCAAATAGAAACAAAGTGTTCACCTAGAAATATATACAATATTACGCAAACGAATTCAGTGTGAAACCAACACACAACAAAGATATGTTATACAAATAAACAATTTTAGAATGTATTATAAAATTAACTAGGTTTACAAATAAATACAAATTAATAATGAATAAATGTAATTTCAATGGCAGTAGACAATAGGATGGCAGTATATAATTTCAATGGCAATACAATTATAATGGCAGTGATAATAGCAACAAACTCAGTGATACACAAAGTACGGGTACACAAAGTAGGTGATCTAGGGTGCTTTGCAAGCGCGAATCGCCTGCAAGTGATGTACAGCGATTCGCGTTAGAACAGTGCGCTAACTTTCAGCAGCTTGCAAGCGAAACAATCGCTGGCTGAGGTCGCTTCGTTCTCAAAATAAAATGGCGGCTGACTTTGACAGCGGTACAAGAAGTTCTTGACTGGATCATCGAGGAAATGAGCAAAGGTAGCTAAAACCCCATCATCCTCAGTCTGCTCCACATCTTCAAAGTAATCATAAATTTCATCAGCTCGTCATCGAGCCTCTTTTATTACGTTCTTCTACGTCAAGGCAACCAAGCGGTAGTTGCGCCACCATTTTGGAAGAGTGCGCTTGCGCTTCGAACTGTTGCAGACCCCGGAATGAGCGAATAATTTGCGATTCGTGGCTTGCAACCCGCCCCTAGACTACCAGTTGTCGGATTTTCATTTTTTTGGAAGCATCGGTGGCTGAGGAGGTTAGACAATCACATTCCTGAAAGCCTAACAACAACACAAGACACCAACCTACACAATACGTAATGATCCAAGTGAAAACTTCAATGTGCATATGCGGAAAATATATCCCCTTATGTACAATACTTGAACAATCATCAAATTCACATCAGCAATGAATGACTTTTACCCGTGTTGAATGCAGAGTGTAACGTGTATTTATAGGATATTGCAGAGGTCAGCTTGTGACATATCATATTGTGTAGAAATACCGAGAGACAATGCTGTACTTAAGTTGGCGAATACAACCAGGTATTTCTCACGGCCTCGTAATGTTAATGTCACGGTTTGTTTGATACCAAGTTCTTTTCAAACATGATCTGTCGTTGCTATCCATTGCTAGTAATAGTCGCATTTTTAAATGTGTCATTGAAATGAAGTTCACAATGCATAAACACCCTGGTGTAAACAACTATGACAATACATGTAGCTGCGCATGGACTTGCACACTACTTGATATTTGAATACTGTGCAGAACATTTTTTATGTCTTACCAACTGCACCTGTCACCCACACGCTAAACAGTTAAAGATTGATGTGACGGGACTAAAGAAGAGAATGTGATTAATCAAATGTAAGAGAATGCGTCTTTTACAATAGATCTATATTAAGTCACTTCTCTACGGTCTCTCTCACGCCCCACCAAATCATGTGAAGTTTTGTCTTACTCATATCGGTTATATTTTCTTTAGACATTTTGTCTACAGATTAGCTGTAACTGTTGTGAAATTGTTATATTGCTGCATTACCAATCCACAACATTATGAAAACGGAATGTGCTAGCAGGTGGACTTGTGTTTAACTATAGGCTGTTGGGGTCGTAATCGGTACTCACTTTAATACATGGCGATAACATTTAATGGAAATATGTTCTAGCACAACATTTCTGCAATGTGTTTGTTAGTTTGTTTGTTTGTTGTTTAACGCCGCACTCAGCAACATTCCAGCTATATGACGGCGGTCTGTAAATAATCGAATAAGGACCAGACAATCCAGTGATTGACATCATGAGCAATGTGTTGAAAAAATTGCAATAATATGTTATGAAATAGTATCGCCTATGTTACAGCATGATGTTCTTGAATAACATTTTAAAAACATTTCAATTACATTTCATGAGATCGTTCCTGGCATAACATTTCTGCAACATGTTGAAAACACTATAAGAACATGTTATGAAATATTTTCGCCTATGTTATAGCATGATGTTCTTGAAAAAACATGTTAAAACATTTAAATAATATTTTGAATAATTATAAAACATTTACATCTTATTGGAATGAGTTTACATGTGTATACACAATGTATTTAAAACACGATAATAACAATGCATTAAATATGTTCTGGCAAAACATTTCTGCAACGTGGTGAAAACATTGCAATAACATGTTATGAAACAGTATCGCCTATGCTATAGTATGATGTTCTTGAATAACATTTTAAAAACATTTCAATAACATTTCATGAAATAACTTCTGGCATAACATTTCTGCAACGTGTTAAAAGATTGTAATAACATGTTATGAAATAGTTTCGGCTATGTTATAGCATATTGTTTTTGAATAACATTTTGAAAACATTTCAATAATAGTTGTAAAACGTTAATAAAATGTTTTCATGAAAATGTTTTTGAAAAACTACAATGAAACCTTTTTGAAAATGTTATGTGTTAGCTGGGTATATATCTATATATCTATATCTATAACAACATCAGTAGCAGAGCCATTAGTGATGTCATTTGATTGTGACGACATGGTAACCTATGACGTCACCAAGGTCTGCAAAGCATTGTGATGCAATTTCATTTCAATTCGTCCCACGTATAGCAATAATTAAATAAGTGGAGTAAGCTTGATCATGAACCTACATTATATAAAAAAGAGCAACCTTTCATTCATAAATACGCGTCTAAGTTAAAATGTATGCCTTGGTATTGTGACGTCATAATTCTCCTAAATGTTATGACGTCACGTAACTATATGTTACAACTTCATGTCCGTTATTCAGTTATGGCCTGATGAGACTCATACATGTACGTGGTACGAGTTGAAAGCGCTAGCCAATAAAAAAACTGTGTTCAATCTAACTCCACCTCTTTAATTATTCGCGTGACATTTGTGCGACTCATAGCCGTCTCTTAATATTTATGCGTCAAACTCCAAAAAGAGGCTATCCCCGCAAGCTTTCAAAATGGCATCGGAGCATCGCCGTGTCCTCGAATGCGTTTCCGATGCGAGGTGAGATAAATCTATGAGTTTTCAGCGTTGTTCCGGTCGATTTATCTTTGCGGAAACGATGACTGGCAGCCACCCGACAAGTTATAGGGAAGTTGTTCACCGTAACTAATAATTTTCATTCAAAACTGATGAGCGAATATCGCTTATCAACTATTGATTTTATCGCAGCTACCATGACGATTCAGTACGAAGTACTCGTGCTTTTTCTGAATACAATATTGATTTTTTTCTCGTCACATTATTACTACATACTATCATATATAATTCATATACATGTATATAGATCTATATATATATATCCTGGGTGTCGTTGTACAAAGCGATATTAGCGTGTCGGTGATCGTAACTTCCATACCTTAACATATGGACAGTCTGAAAATTAGGTCTAAGGTTGTTTTGTACAACGGCGGCCGGGAACTAATATTTATACTAATGTAGGTCACATGGTGATAACATATCGACTTTCAAACAATTACATTTATTTTGGTAAGAATATACATATTTCTAGATGGGAAATGGACTACATATATAAAGCTAATATGAATGCATATACTGACATAAATAAATAATGTATAAAACAGTTACAGTTGTTTTAATTTATGCTTTATTGGATTCTTTTTACGATTTATATTCATACACAAAATAAAAATCAATTTGGGGACTTGAATGAATTTCAGTCCTTGATTTGTGTGCTGTAAACAAGTATGCCCCTGTGCAAAGAATACTGAAATAAGGGACAATTCCATCCATATTTGCATGGATTGTGGCCACAATACCAAGGAAGCCCCCCTTGATCCTATATGCCAGAACGTCATAGTGTAAGAATTTACAACTATCCACTATAATAATATGTGTATTAATAAATGTCATAAATCAAGATTGCATCATAATTAATTCTTTTTACTTTATTTATGAAACATTTATATTAAATCTGTATTATTTTGTTTGTAGTGTGAGGAGAACCTGGTTCCAGGAGGAGGTGTGATGGACATGAGGTTGAAGGGAATGATCATTCCACACAGAATGTGGGGTGTGAGGCACAATTTGAAATAAAGGAGATGCAGGTCCATGTTGAACAATGGGAGAACCATATACTCAATAACCATCTGGCTCTTGAGAATTTTGGAGTATCAAGAACTAGAACTGACCCGTTTCATGCAATATCATATTTCATTACTGACTGTGATACTTTCAAGTGATGTTTATATTTTGATCAACCCAGTGCCACCAAAATGTGTAGCATGTATTATGTTTGTTCTGACACTCTTTCCTTGGCTGGAAGACCCAGGATTATGCTGTTGACTGCACTGAAATAGAAATTCAAATCCCATCGGCCTTTGTCCTCAACTCAAAAGTTTGATACACTTTACAAAACTAGCTGCCCACTCTAAAGCCTGATTGGTATAGCCCCTCACGATGCTGTGAACTGTGTATCATGTTTGTCTACAGCTGGTATATCTGATGCTGAGATGACAAAGCTGTCTCAATATTCCCCCTTTCCTATTTAACTGTAGTCAGCTTTCAACCGAATAAATAGGAGAAATACAAACCTTAACATCCTTGAGAGTCCATGTTGCAGAGTTTTCAAAACTATCAATCAGCTATGGACAGTTCCTTGATTATGGTTTCCCTTGCACACTCTTATAGAATTGTGCTAAAATTGCTTGTGAGAGAAAAAAATGTCAAATCGTTTGAGACGCAAATATTTTATTACACAATGTACATATATTGTATTTAAACTGATGTCCATAGCACTGGTTCGATCTTTCTGATGGCACAGAAACAGTTTGCTGTAGAAACCCTCACTTCA